AAACTCCATGAGTTGGTGATGGACAGGGAAGCCTGGCGTGCTGCAGTCCATGGGGTTGCAAAGAGTCAGACATGACTGAGTGACTGAACTGAACTGAAGTCCAATTCAGCAGGTCAGGTGCACTGGGAAGGTGAGGGGAGAAGAGACAGCAAAGGCTGGGTGTGTAGGTTGGCAGTATGGTTTGGGACCACATCCTTAGGCAACTGGGAGCCAAAGATGGGCCATGTCTGGGTTTGTTTTCAGAGGAATGACTCCAGCAGGAAATCAGAGAACAGAATAAGCCCCAGTACAAGCAGAAGATGAAGAAAGCTGGACCCAATATGGCTAGAATGGGGAAGTGGGTAGATGTGAAGAGAGTTCTGAGGTAGGACCAGGGGGATTTGGTGAATGACCATATAAGTGAGGAAAGAAGGAACAGGAGCCAAGAGGACCTCAGAGTCTTTAACATGGACACTTCAGGGTCTGGGGGGGACGGCAGTAGAGGCAAAGAGGCTGGGACAGGGGAGAATAGAGAGAGGGGGCAGTGAACTGCTGCTACAGTCTCTGCTGACCATCAGTGGGTTCCGGAAACGTAAGGTTGAAGCCCTGTGGGAATATCTAGAAGAGGAGATGAAAGTAAGGTCTCAGACTTGAGAAATGAGGAGCATGTTGGATCTAGAGATGGGTCTTGTCCAGAGCCACGGGAATGGATCCATCAACTGGGATGGCTTACAGGGAGGGCCAGGGCAACCAGAGTTTTGACAAAACTAGCTTATAAGGGGTCGGTAAGTGAGAGAGACCCAGAGAAAGAGAATGAGGGAGAGTAAAAAATGATGTCTAAAAAGGCAGGTATGCTTTGAATGGTCAGTGATATCAAAGAGAAGATATCAAGAGAAGAAACAGGAACACAGGACTGAACACAGCCTCTGGGGTGGGCTGAGGACCAGGCAACCTTGGTCAGAAAGGCAGGAGTAACACATGAGGAGCAAAGGTCACAGAGGCTGGAGACCAAGTCAGAAGTAACAAAAAGAAAGTGGGTCTTTTAATAAATACGACATAGGAAGAAAGGAGATCTGGAACTGGTTTGAGGGACTAGTAAAAATCCAGGAGAACTAGGATATGCAAATTTGTAGAACTAAAGGAAAGGACTTCCTAGGATTCCAAAGCAAATCATAATTCTATGACTTAATTAAACCAATAAACAATACAGAATTCCCACTTGTGCTCTGAAGTTTAATTGCTTGTAACGGGTTTTCAAATCCTTGAACTAAGGATATTACATAGGAGCAAAGATTTATTTCTAAGGCATCTCAATTCTGGATTCCCATTTCTCTAAACTGCACTCATGTGAACAAACATTGATAAAGACTGGTGTGTCTACTCATTTGTCTCTGTACTTACCGCTCACTTCCTTAAGGTAATTAATTATGTTTAAGGAAAAAAATATAATAGCCCTCTCATTAAATGAAATAGTCAGTCAAATGGAAACTAATTTTTACCTAGAGCTAAGGAATCTTACATTGTCATCAAATGACTGGTTAGTGAATTTTCTTTTACCTATTATTTAGATG